AGGAAATCACCGGAAGAGTTGAGAGAAAACGTGTCTACGAGGCTACTGCAGTTGTTCGGATATACGGAAACAATGTGACAGATGCTAATATTCAGGCAACACTATGGATTCAGAACCTGAATCAGCGTGAACAATACATTGGCATTGCAAAGTCGGTTCCTTTTTCGTGTTGTATCATGAATTCCTCTATAAGATTCTTGAACTTTTTTCTGCAGATCAATCTACTTTCTGGATCTGTTTTTTCGAGCTTTTTTCGCGTTACCATGGCTGAGCCCGAGCTTTTTTTCGTCCTTAGCGTGCAGGCCACTGACAAGGAGTGGACACAATTGCAGGGGAAGTTCCTCATCAATGGCTTTCCATCCCGTGCAATCATATTCATCGAAGGTTCGCCTCCAGGAACCGACATTCTTGTCAATAGCTTTGTCGTAAAACATGCGGAGAAGTCCCCTCCATCGCCGCCTCCACATATCGAGGTTAGTTCCAGTGACTCAGATTCACGTTTTCATCGTCTTTTCAGACGTTTTCGTATAATTCTTCCGTGTCTTTGGTCCTGTAGAATCCGGCTTATGGAGTAAACATACTTACGAATAGTTCATTAAGCGATGGAACGACCAGCGGATGGTTCCCGCTTGGGAATTGCACGATGAACGTCGGGAAAGGCTCGCCTCGTATACTTCCTCCAATGGCGAGAGATTCACTCGGAACACACGAGCCTCTGAGTGGCCGATACATTCTCGTTACCAACCGGACTCAGACATGGATGGGACCTGCCCAGATGATCACTGATAAACTGAAACTCTTCCTCACATACCAAGTTTCGGCTTGGGTTAAGCTCGGTTCTGGTGTTGCCGGTCCTGAAAATGTAAATGTTGCCCTCGGGATCGATGACCAGTGGGTTAACGGAGGATTAATTGAGATAAACGATGATAAATGGCATGAAATCGGCGGTTCTTTTAGAATCGAGAAGTAACCCTCTAAGGCCATGGTCTATGTTCAAGGTCCTTCATCAGGTATCGATCTAATGGTCGCAGGATTGCAGATTTTCCCCGTGGATCGACAAGAAAGAATCAGATACCTTCGACGACAAGCTGATAAGGTACATGACGAGACAACCTTGAACTCGAGGGTACCTCTGTTTTGTTTCAGCAAGCAAGCCTAATGAGGTTTTCTATGCAAATTGCAGATCCGAAAATGCGATGTTATCCTCAAATTCTCGGGAGTCGATACAAGCAAGTTGTCTGGAATTGCAGTAAAAGTCAGACAGACGAAGAACAGCTTCCCGTTGGGAACTTGCATTAGCAGATCAAACATAGACAACGAAGATTTCGTGGCTTTCTTCGTCGAGAACTTCAACTGGGCGGTTTTCGCAAACGAGCTGAAGTGGTATTGGACCGAAGCAGAGAAAGGGAAGTTCAACTACCAAGACGCCGACGAAATGCTCGACTTATGCATCAGAAACAACATCCAAACAAGAGGACACTGCATATTCTGGGAAAAGGAAACAGCAGTTCAGGAATGGATCAAACAATTGAACACATCTGACTTGAAAACCGCCGTCCAAAACCGCCTCACAGATCTTCTGAACCGATACAAGGGAAAGTTCAAGCACTACGACGTGAACAACGAGATGCTACACGGATCTTTCTTTCAAGACAAGCTGGAACAAGACATCAGAGTGAACATGTTCAAGACTGCAAACCAGTTAGACCCGTCAGCTGTACTGTTCGTGAACGATTACCACGTGGAAGACGGGTGCGACCCGAGATCGAGTCCCGAGAAATACGCCGATCTGATTCTCGACCTGCAGGAAAAGGGTTCTCCCGTGGGAGGTATCGGAGTTCAGGGCCACATTGACCGCCCTGTAGGAACGATTGTATGCTCTAACCTGGACGAGCTGGGGACATTAGGGATACCAATCTGGTTCACAGAGCTCGATGTCTCTTCCATCAACGAGCACGTGAGAGGAGAAGATCTGGAGGTAATGCTGTGGGAAGCTTATGCTCATCCCGCGGTGGAAGGGGTAATGCTATGGGGAATATGGGAGCTTTTCATGTTCAGAGAGAACTCACATCTCGTTAATGGCGAAGGGGACGTTAACGAAGCGGGGAAACGGCTTCTGGGTGTGAAGAGAGAGTGGCTTTCTCGTGCCAGTGGAAGCGTGGATGGGAATGGTGAGTTTGTGTTCAGAGGATACGAAGGGAGTTACACTGTCGAAGTGGCGGGCTCTTCGTCTGAGAAGAAGCTTCTGAGAACTTTCACAGTTGAGAGAGGTGATACGGCTCAAGTCATTTCCGTTGATCTTCAAGGTGGTGTCTGAATGTTATGATTCTGTCTTCTTGTGTGAATGAAATGGTTTTCTACATTGTTGAATTTGGGTTGAGAGATTGTGACGTTGTTCTTATTGTAAATGAAAGTTTATTCAACAGCATTAAAGATATCAGATTTGATCATAAAAAGGACAAGAATCAGAAGATGTCTGAAAAAAAAAAAGGATTTGGGATGCGCAAGGGTGAAATGATCGGAACCGATGGGATCTACATCCAAAGGTTGGATCTTCAGCGACAAGTTCTGTATCACGTAGAAACGACGTCGTACGAATGACACTCTCTTTCGTCAAAATTTATCGAGTATTACCAAAATTACCAATTAAATAACTGCTCATAATCTGTGACAAAAAATATCGAGTAAATAAATACCGGACCAAACCGGTCAGAATCACAGTAACCGAATCGAACCAAAATCGTCGCGGCCTACGAAAACAAACTTCACATGCATGGCCTTTGAAGTTTGAAGATTCTTTCCTTCTCCCTTGCCACACTCCAACGTATGATTTTATTATGCTTTGTCGCGATTTGGGTATTTAGGTTTTAGGGTCGCGAATCCAGGATTTTGATTTTGGAGAGACAGACCCCATGGATATCCGGAGGAGAAGGGTCCAATTTCTGCTTTTTGTCATCGGAATCATCGCTCTCAGTATCACAGGTACTTGAATCTTCCCCGAAACTTTCGGTCTTTTCTGTAGAAATTTGCGGAATGATAATTTTATTGATAACCAAAACAACATATAAATATATGAGAGTCTTACATCGAATAAGTAAAGTAGACATAATGATAAATATTTCTAAATATATATTTTCCGGATTCGATAAGATCTCCAATATATGATATATCTCGTAATATTCTTCAAAATCCGGTATATCTCAACATCCCTCTTCAAGTTGGAGCGTAGAAGATCACGAAACGTCCAACTTGCTAAAAAGACGATCAAACGCATGTCGCTTGAACCACATCACCTTGGAATTTGTGTCAATTGAAGATATAACTGGAAAAAATCAAACAAACGATTGCGCTGCAACTTTGACAATACGCACAAAAGAATCGTTCGATGATAACAAAAAAAGGATGACAATCGCGATGCGAAAAAAGATGTCTCGGGAATAACTCTGATTCATCCGAGATTGAAAGACAACTACACGAAAGTGCAAGAGTAAGATGATTTGCGGTTATGCCAATAATCTTTTGAAGCATATGGGATTATGAGAAAAAAATAAAAAGAAAAAAAAATGACTCTCTTATTCTTAAAAAAAACTCAAAATGATGTTACCACTGGATCGATATATCATCGTCATCTCCCTCTTCACTCTCATTGTCAATCACCATTTTTTATGAAAAGATCAATAAACTAGAAAAGAACCAGACTCTGATACCATGTAGAAATTTGCGGAATGATAATTTTATTGATAACCAAAACAACATATAAATATATGAGAGTCTTACATCGAATAAGTAAAGTAGACATAATGATAAATATTTCTAAATATATATTTTCTGGATTCGATAAGATCTCTAATATATGATATATCTCGTAATATTCTTCAGAATCCGGTATATCTCAACATTTTCTTCGTACTTCCTGTCTGTCCGGTGATAATTACTCGATCTTGGCGTGGATCAATCATGGGTTTGTCGAAATGTGTCGTCTTTAGCCAAACTCGTTTCTGGGTAATGTTAATTTGTGTCTGGATCTTGGTTTAAGAGCTTTGTCTGTGTATAATCATTTTTTATCGTTAATGATGAATTGTTTACTTGTTTCGACTGAATTAATATGCTTTTCCCGATCTGGGTAGGAAAAGGTGAAGTAACTTTCTTTGTTTGATGATCAAATCAACTTGGAGCTTGTTTGCTGATTTGAGTATGTCTATGTCCATTTGTTCCCAGAATTGGTGCTCTTTTCCCTCTTTGGATTCGTTTTATTCAGTGCTTTGATTTCATCTGTATTGCTGGTTCTTACAGCTCCGTAGTTTGACTTGTGCCTGCAACTGTAATTGCTTGCTTAATTTGGATAGTAACATGGGATCAAGTGATGTTTTAGATTTGGCAGATTCCACCAGTTCATCTCTTCAGCCTTAGAAATTTTCAAACATATAGCTGTAGTTACTGTAGAGATTCGGGAGATTTGGATACCTTGTGGGCAGTCACGTGGGAAATTGGATCGGTGGTCGGGTTGGACTCTGATGGTTTATGATGTTGTGAATGGCTTACACTTCTTGCTCAAGGCTTTTCAAGCTGGAGAAACCGCGAAATCCACCCCTTACGATAGATCATAAGTTTCTGAAGAAACGGATTACGACAACTCAGAAGCTTCCGCAGAATCCACCCCTTACGATAGATCAGAAGTTTCTGAAGAAACGGATTACGACAACTCAGAAGCTTCTGCAGAATCCACCCCTTCCTATGAAACTCCGAGTTACGAGCTTTAGAAGCTTCCAGAACATTTTGTAATCCGGGAAAACCCTCGACTATCCTCGAGTTCTTCATCGAAACCTGTAAAAGATCTGGCAGATTTATGACAACTCAGAAGCTTCTCAAGGCCAATCTCTGAACTCAGCTCAAAAGTTATTTAGGTTTAAAACGATGTTCCCAGAGAGGTGAGGGGTCATTGTTCTTGGTTTGTGATTGTTAGGTTGTGGAGTCAGCTGTATAGATTCATAGGATGAGCTTGTGACAGGACTCCTGTTTAAACTTGGATTGGATGCTCACAAAATACCTAAATCTTGTATTTGGTTTTGGTACTTTTTTTTCCTTTGACATGAGAAAAGAATTTCTTATTCCATATGGATGGGAATCTGGGCCAAAAATCGACAAGGCTAAACCGGTATGTACCAAACCGAATATCGGTTTATATCTAATCTTAACCATACAAGTTGCTTGAGCTATATTAAGATGGGCCCGTACTCTGTGCTGGGCTTCTAATTATTTAAGTGAACCACTGCGTTTGTTCGGCTAAAAAAATAGTTACAAAACAGAGAATATTTTGTTCGATTTAGAGACTACGCGAAGAATTTATATTAGGGGAAAGATATTTCGAACCGAATAATATATTATATGAATTTGATAATAATTTTTTATATATAATATTTTAAAAATAAAATTCAATAGAATGTGTGCGAACACAGACCGATAATAAAATAATTGAAAAAAATGAAATGAAATCGTTTTTTTTTTAACAAATAAATTGTTTTAATAAAAAATTGATATTAATCGAATTGAATAAAATCTAAATAAATTGAACGGTTATATTATTTAGAGAAGAAATAAAATAAAATATAGAAATTAAGGAGAATAAATAATCCAAACTCGAAATCTGTGCCCTCAACTTATGAGTTTGTAAATATGCTTAGAGAAAATTGGTACAAATAGAAGATAAAACATAAGTTTGTAAATATGCTTAGAGAAAATTGGTACAAATAGAAGATAAATTAGAGATGTCAAAATGGGTCGGGTTATGCGGGTTAACCCGACCCAACCCGATTATTCACCTAAATGGTTTAACCCATTTGAATAATTTTTTTAAATGGGTTAAGTGGGTTTTAACCCATTCAACCCATAGGTTAAATGGGTTAAACCATTTAACCCATTAAAACCCACTATATTATCAACATTAACATTTATATTAACCCATTCAACCCACTATATTATTATATAATAACTAAAATTCTTATATATAGATATATAAATAGTAATATACGCTGTATATATATTTAAATATATATTATATATGTACGTATATATAAACATATATATGTATGCGAATTAAAAAATATAATATCGGATTGAAAAGTTTGCTATCGTTTTTGAATCGAACCGAAATATTTGGTATCGTTTTTGAACCGAACCGAAAAAATTGGCACCGTTTTCAAAACAAAACGAAAAAAATTGATATCGTTTTCGAATCGAACCGAAAAACTCGTTACCGTTTTTGAATCGAACCATACCAAAAAGTTTAGAAACCTGATATCCAAAAAATCGGTATCGTTTCCGAACAACCAAAAAAATCGATAACGTTTCTGAATTGAACCAAAAAATTTGTTACCATTTTCCAATCGAATAGTAACGAAAATTTCAAAAACCCGATATTCGAAAAATCGATACCATTTTTGAACCGAATTGAAAAAATCGATATCGCTTTCGAATCGAACCGAATCGAAAAAATCGATATCATTTTTTAATCGAACCGAATCGAAAAAATCGATATCGTTTTCGAATCGAACCGAATCGAAAAAATCGATTTCGTTTTCGAATCGAAAAAATCGATTTTGTTTCTGAATCGAACAAAAAAATTTGTTACCATTTTTGAATCGAATAGTACCGAAAATTTCAAAACCCCGATATTCGAAAAATCAGCACCATTTTCGAACCGAATCGAAAAAATCGATATCGTTTTTGAATCGAACCGAATCGAAAAAATCGATATCGTTTTCGAATCGAACATAATCAAAAAATCGATTTCGTTTCTGAATCAAACCGAAATAATCGATATCGTTTCCGAATTGAAACGAAAAACTCATTGTCGTTTTTGAACCGAACGGTACCAAAAAAATTGATAATCCGATATCCGAAAAATCGGTATAATTTTCAAATAGAATCCGATATATATGTGTACGAACTAAAAAAAATATCTCAAAGATTATTATGTTTAAATGATAATAAGTTTATTGTGAGAAAATTAAATAGGTTAATTAGGTGGTTATGGGTTTTATGGATTAACCCAACCCATATAACAATTATTATTGGGTTGACCCAACCCAAACCTATAATTTTTAAAACCCAAATGGGTTGGGCCCAAATGGGTTGGACAACCCATATTGACATCACTAAGATAAAATATAGAAAATTACTTTAGATGGACGATTAGCTTAAAATGGTGGGATCTAATTTAATTTTATTACGAGGTGGATATGAAAAATCCATTTTCTTTAATTGAGTCATTACACTGGTCAATGAAGAATAAATGGATATAAATTCAAACGAAAACGAAAATCAGGCATTCGATTTAGGTAATGAAGGTTGCAATGTTTGACACGTGTATTACACGTCATCATTAATCGAAATCTGACAATTGAACCGGTTTAACCTAAACTAAAACTTTAAACTTAAACCGAAGATTGAACCAGATAAAACCCAAATCCCTAAATTCCCTGAATTCTATTCCAAACGTCAGTCAGCCAGAAAAATTTTCGTGCCATAATACAGTTTGCTCCCGGCGACTCTGACCTCGCTTCTCCGGCGTCTCCCCGGTTGTGTCGTCTCCACCTCCGTCGTATCATCCTCCGACGAGTTCGTGCTCCCGGAGAGTCCGTGTCTGTCGTCTCCCGTCGACCCACGACTGCTCCCGGTGACTCTGATTTCCTAAAACGTAACCCTAACCCTAATTATCTAACTCTCAGTCTCTCACTCGCCACTCGGTCTCTCTCCCACTCGCGATTTGTTGCGCCTCCGCCCTCCATCACTCTCGACTCTGGTCGCCTGAAACGCTGAGCTCCTCTTGTGAGCTTTCCGGTTGTCGTCGCCTGAGCTTCAGCCTCCATCATCGCCGTGCTCTCTGTTCGTCCGCCTCTTCTCTCTCTCGGTAAGGGCTTCTCCCTCGTCTCTTCCTTGCTCCGCCTCTGTCTTCGCCGTCTGTCTCTATTCAGCCTCCGTTTCTCCGTCGTCGCCTGATTTAAGTGTTCTCCTTGTTACAGGTTGTCTTCGCCTGAGCTTCTCCCTCGTCGCCTTGCGCTTCTCCCTCGTCGCCTTGCGCTTCTGTCTTCTCCCTCGCCGTCTGTCTTCGCCGCTTCTGTTCGACCATTTTCTTTCTCTCCCTCGGTAAGAACTTCTCCCTCGTCGCCTTGATCTCGGGTTCCCGATTTGGTCGGGTTCGCCGCCTCTGTTCGACCAATTTTTTTTCTGTAGTTGTCTTCCTTGTTCATGTATTGTCTGTGTTCATTGTTGTTTCTTTCTCTTTTGGTCTGGACAGTGGACGTTTGGGAAGTAGACTTAGGCATTGTTAATAAACCATTCCATGATATCAATGTGTTCTGAAAATGTCGATACAGGGGATTTGATAGGGTTTTTTACCCAAATAAACCAGTTGGGTCGCATCTATTTCACCTGTACACCACCGAAAACATAACACATTTTTTTCCCGTGAAAAGACGAAATTACCCTTAATGAATTACGATATTTATTTGTTCGAAAACAACTTCGTTATTACGACTTCGTAATTAAGTCTAGATATAGTTACAATTGATTCTAAAAAAGGTGGCAAAAAAATCATCTATCTTATTTTAGTTGTATATCAGTTATATGTTAGTCGTAATAAGGTCGCAAAAAATAAAACGAAAAGGGTATTTCGGACTTTTCCAACCGAAAAGTGGGTTAAAATTGAAATTTTTTTTTCCAGTGGTGTACACTGAAATAGATGTGACCCAAGTGGGTTATTTGGGTGATTTTCCCGATTTGATAATATACACTAGAAATCAGACATTGAAGGTGAGCACGGGTTCGGGTCCTGCGGATACCCGATCTCGTGCCTCGGGTACCCGGATCTTGGGTATCCGGGTCTTATGAGATAGAGACCGAGATAAGATGTTCAAAAACCCGACGAGACTGAGAGTGAGACTGAGATAGAGATGCCTTAAAACATCCGGGTATCCGCCCATGCCCAGTCCTAACTCCGACCCTCGATTCTCCAGCGTCTCTCTGTCGGTCCTCGATTTCTTCGGATCCTGTAAGCGGAAATTGATTTAGGGTTGGATGGAATTTGTGTTTCTAATCGTGGGAAAACGAGATTGAATTTGTTCTCCCCTTTGCACTCGCAGTATGGTCATTGGTCACAAGTTCAAAACTTTTTTTTTTTGGTTCCCAATGGCAGTAGAGTTAAAATCATATATGGATACTTAACACACATTTTTAACACCATGGGTTTCATTTTGAGATTTAGGAATTTTTTAGGTTTTTTCTTCTTCTTTTTTCGTTCGATTTAATTTAAAAACCGAATTTGGGTTAGGTCGATTTAAATTCAAAACCGAATATGATGGTATGTTAATTTTTACTTAAAAAGTTTTTTCAGAAGCAGTTTTTTTTTGGAATTTTCTATTTTATCAATTGGTATATTATATTATATTTTTGCCTCGGTACAAAACACCAGTGCTGAAAAACGAAGCTCTTTGCCCAAATCGAAAACCCTAACTGTTGGGTTCCTTCTGAATCTGTAAACCCCTAAAACTTCGTTGAATCTCCATAGCAACAAAAATCAGTGTCTCTGCCTGAGTTCGACGCCGGATTGTTATTACTCATTTCGGTTTCCATTCGGATTCGATTCTCGATCGTTCGCATAATTTGAAAGACCTCTTTCATCTCTTGCAGATTCTGTTGTCGAAGATATTGACGAAAGAGATGAGCCTTGTGAGTCCTGATTCTCCTCTTCACTCGTCGAACAGTGACGATTTCGCCGCCATTATCGAAGCGGAGCTTCAGTCTGGTTCTGATTCTTCTGGATCGTCGCCCAATGAAGAAACCGGGGACGAGGGTTATGAATCCGAAGATTCGGAGCTTGATAGATCCAAAAGGCGCAGGGTTGAACACTCTGGGACTGTTGAAGAGATTCAGAGTTCGGCTTCAGTGGAAGAAAAAGCAGTAACGAGCTCGAGCGTAAACGAGTGCGAGCATCCGGGCTCGTTCGGAGGTATATGTTTTGTCTGTGGGCAAAAGTTGGAGGAATCTGGTGTTGCCTTTGGGTACATACACAAGGGTATAAGGCTTGATCCTGAAGAAGTTGCTAGGTTACGTGATTCGGACATGAGATTTTTGGTACGTCGTCGGAAGCTGTGTTTGGTTCTCGACCTAGACCACACGTTGCTCAATTCTACCACCCTTATGCATATGACACCTGAGGAAGATTACTTGAGGAGCCGAGCACATTCTCTCCAAGATGTGTCGGGAGGAAGCCTATTCTTGTTGGAGTTTATGCACATGATGACGAAATTGAGACCCTTTGTCCGGTCATTTCTGAGTGAAGCGAGTGAGATGTTTGAGTTGTATATATACACGATGGGCGATAGGCCTTATGCCCGGCAAATGGCGAAGCTCCTCGACCCGAAAGGAGAGTACTTTGGTGATCGGATCATTTCCCGGGATGATGGTACGGTGAAACATCAGAAGAGTCTCGACATTGTGCTGGGGCAAGAAAACGTGGTTTTGATTCTTGACGACTCAGAGAATGCTTGGCCGAAGCATAAAGACAATCTGATCTTGATGGAGAGGTATCACTTCTTTGCATCGAGCTGCCAACAGTTTGGCCACAACTTCAAGTCTCTTTCACAGTTGAAGAGTGATGAAAGTGAAACTGATGGAGCACTTGCAACTGTCCTTAAAGTCCTGAAACGAGTCCACGGTCTATTCTTCGAGGGCATTAACGATGACAATCTTTCTGATAGAGACGTGAGGTTGGCCCTTAAGGAAGTGCGGAAAGAGATCCTGAAAGGATGCAAAATTGTCTTCAGCCGGGTAATCCCGACCCACTGCAAACCCGCGAGCCACCATCTGTGGAAGATGGCCGAGCAACTCGGGGCCACTTGCTCAGGGGACGTGGATCCATCGGTAACACACGTCGTGGCTACGGATGTTGGAACAGAGAAGTCTAGGTGGGCGATGAAAGAGAAGAAGTTTCTGGTTCATCCGGGGTGGATCGAGGCAGCCAATTTCTTGTGGCAGAAACAAGATGAGGATAACTTCCCCATCGAGCAGCCGAAGAAGCAGTAATCTATTCGGATAAAACGCCATTCTAACGATCGGCATGTGCATAATTAGCTGATGATGATTTTGATTTTGATTTGAGATTAATCCCCCGTTTTGTCTCGCAGAATACAATGTAGTTTCTCTGTTCATTATAGTTGTCGTTCAAGTGTTTCACTTTGGTTTGTTTCTTTTAAAGTTTTGTTCAAGACAGTTCATTCTTCTCACAGATATATGTAAACACAGACCAGTTATTATCATCTGTATCGAGAAATGTTGAAATTACAAACTTAAAAAAGTGTATGTTTCCATGGGAGCTGATTACAATTGCAGAGTCACATGCAAGTAGCTCCGAGAGGCTTCATGAAGTTTTGTTCCCTTGTATCCAAACTTTGAGCAAGTATCTCATAAAGGCTGTGTATAAAAAATGAAAACATAGAAAAACTGAATAATAGGTCACATATTCTTTCGATTTTTTTTCCAAAATAAACAAGGATTTGTGAAAAGATAGCAGGAAAAGAAATCAAGTTGAAAACTCACCTTGTCTCCGACTTCATTGGAACCAAGCTCAATTTCCGAGTCCAGGTTCTTTTATTCCCCCTTTCTTCTATCCGCCTGCTGCAACTGGAATATTTCTTCATTTAACTCAGAAATTTCAACCTGCACATCTGGGAAAAGGGGTAAATTATCTAAAGATGCATTCACTTTCTACTGTATATCTTCTCATCCCTACCGAGCATATCATATCCAAGATAAAAGAACATGTCTGTCTTCTCTAGCAATTAATTGATGTTTACCCGAACTAAGTCACGCATAAGAATTGGGCTCTACAAGTATCATCCCATTTACTTCTGGAAAATCGAAACAGCACCCTCAAACCTTGCTTCCCTTAGGCTCTGAGATGGGTATAACCTCGCGAGAATCTTCTTAGTCACATTGAATAGTAGTACTCAACAATTTGCTATGACACTGGAGCCATCTCCGAGACAATAGATGAAAGACAACAATATCTAAGACTCTTTTACATTCCTTGAAGCTAATAAACTACTAAAGCTATTCAAGAATCTACCCTCATACTAAACGACCAGAGACAAAAGTACTACGAGTTCATCACACGGGTTTGACGAACACCACAAAAAGCACAAGACAAAACATACCTCGTGTTCTCGGACAAGAGTTTGACGATCCCAGACCAGCATGGACACAGACACGAACACGATGAAAAGCAAAGCCAAACGCCTCGGCCTTCGGAGATAATACGCGGGACTGAAATACCTCCACCAGGCATAACCACTATCCCATCTATTCCTCGCCATTTCAACAATAACCTTTTCTCCGAAACCCCTAAAATTCGGAAACGATCCGATCTACGGAAGGTGAGAATTCAAGACGAAGAGAAACGGATGAGCTGATCCGTATCTATTAGTGTTATTAGAATATAACTATAGTTAAATGTTAGCTTGGTTAAATTAGTTTGGTTAGGTTAGGGTTTATTAAGTGTTTCTTTTCTTCCTCTTGTATTTAAGCAATTGCCCTTTGAGGCTTTGATCAATGGAAACCTACAACAAACATTTTCAGAAACTTTTCTCTTTATTTTATAATATCAAAAGTATCCTCCTTTGTCCTGTTCTCTTGGGTTATGGGTTGTGGTCATTCACAGGTGAGTTTTTTTCTCTTACCCATGTTTTTATAAGCTACCCATTTCACAAATCTTGAATCTTTGCGTCGATTTCTGGGAATTTCGCTCACCGTCTAGTGAGGGTGATTGCCCTAGAATCTGCAGTTCCGTAAAGTAGGAAAATTTTGTCGATTTGGTGGTATCGAAATCCAATCCAGGTTTCCTCTTGTGATCAAGACAGGGAACGAAGCTTGGTCCACGTGCTTCAATGGCGGATCGTGTCGCCACTGGCATCATAACGAACCATGACTTTTCAGCTGGGTTGGAGCCTTGGTACCCGAATGCGTGTGATGCGCTTGTTGTTTCCTCTGACGAGCCCTTTAGTTCTTACGCAACCTCCTCGGAATCTTCAAACAGTGGCTACGCCGTCGTTACAAATCGCAGAGAATCTTGGCATTGTCTTGAACAAGATATTACAGATCGAGTTTCTCCAGGTTGTACATACATTGTCTCAGCCTGGGTTGGAGTGTCTGGTCCTGTTCACGAACCAGCCCAGGTTCAGGCAACTTTGAAGATTGAAATCCAAGGCTCAGCTACACAGTTTTTGTTAATCGGAAAGTATGCTTGTGATATCTTATAACTTGCGTTTTTAGAATCTGTCTGAATTGAAACTGATGGAATCTGGAACATGTCTGCAGAACATATGCTTCAAGGGACAAGTGGGAAACGTTAGAGGGGACATTCTCGTTGTCAAGTAAGCCTGACCGTACTGTTTTCTATCTCGAAGGGCCTTCGCCCGGAACAGATCTTCTTATACGTTCCGTGACAATTAAGTGCTCCTCCCGTTGTGATTATGACGAGGTAATACTTCCAGTGATTATCTTTAGAATGATTTTTTTTCTTGAAACTCTTCCTTATTGATCTGGTTTTTGCTTGCTTTTGGATTTTTTTTCTTGTAAATGATGTCCTCTCCATCTATTGCTTACATAGTTTTAATATTTTGCTTCTTACCCTTTCATACCACAGGAAATGAAACAAGATGCAGCATGTAACGATGTCTTTTCTCCGGCTTCTAATATCATTAAGAACCATGATTTTTCTGACGGGTTGCATGCTTGGTCTCCCAACTGCTGCCATGCATTTGTTGCCAGAAGTCCAGCCCGTTGCAGTGAATTAAGGTCAGCATCAGGAGAAGTTCGTAATTATGCTGTTGTTAAAAATCGGAAGGAAAACTGGCAAGGGTTGGAGCAAGATATCACGGGCCGAGTTTCCCCTGGTGATTTGTATAAGGTTTCTGCCATTGTTAGAGTATCTGGCCCTGTTCGCAAACCAGCCCAGGTTCAGGCGACTTTGAAGCTAGAACACCAAGGCTCAGCTACACAGTATTTGTTCATCGGAAAGTAATGGATACACATTGTATGATTCCTTTTATGTTTTATGATCAGAAGATTGGAAAATGCTGATTTCAGTGACGTTTATGTGCAGAACTTATGCTTGTAAAGATAGGTGGGGAAGTCTAGAGGGCACTTTCTCATTCTCGGGAAAACCTGACCGAGTCGTGTTCTATTTGGAAGGTCCACCTCCTGGGATTGAACTTCTTATACAGTCAGCTGTCATCGATCACGAGATCATAAGACAGCCCGAATCTCGGGTAATGGCTTCTTTCTTCGGAAGCTTCTGTGTATTGGATAAGGATTTGTTGCGAAAGGACTTCAGCATGATCAATCTATAAATTTTCTTTCTTTGCCCTCCTTGGAATCCTCTAAAGTCTGAGTTTCCTCGATTTGAACCTCTTTCTCACTGTATATACAGAGACAAGAAGAGCAGTGCTTAACCTCTGAAGCTGATCATGTCTTCCTTAACTCTCACTTCGTTGATGGACTTAACCATTGGTCTGAAAGAGGATGCAAGCTCATGTTACATGATTCATTTGCCCATGGGAAGATACTTCCACATTCTGGTAATTGCTTTGCATCTGCAACAGAACGCATGCATAAATGGAGTGGCATTCAACAGGAGGTCACCGGAAGAATCCTACGAAAAGTTGTTTATGAAGCTTCTGCTCTTGTTAGGGTTCCTCACAGCTGCTCTGCTGACACAACTCTGCAAGCCACTTTGTGGGTAAAAAACCTTGATGGGCGTGAAGAGTATATAGGAATTTCCAAGTGAGTTCTCTCTCTCTCTCTCTCTCTCTCTCTCTCCACGTTTTCCATTAGATTTCATAGATTTCTTCCTTACAAAATGGTTGTGAGAGACAAAAGTGTTCAGGCAGCGCACGACAATTGGGTAGAGCTGAAAGGTAAGTTCCTTGTCAATGGCTACCCTTCAAGAGTAGTTGTTTACATCGAAGGACCGCCCCCAGGCACCGACTTTTTTGTCGACAATTTTGTTGTGAAACGTGCTGAGAAAATCCCTTCTTCGATACGACCATGCATTCAGGTTACTCCAACTAACGCTCTTCATGTTTTGGATTTACTTTTGTACACTAGGCATGATCTTGCTGTACTGAATATGAACTTTTTCATAATGTTTCGATCCTTTTTGGTATCCATAGGACTGTGCTTTCGGAGTGAATATAGTTTCGAATAGCCAACTACACAGTGGTACCATCGACGGGTGGTTCCCCCTTGGAAACTGCCAGTTAGAAGTCGGAGAAGGCTCTCCTCCTGTACTTCCTTCTTTAGCAAGAGATTCCCTCGGACCGCATGGATCCACCCGTCTTTCCGGGCGATACATTCTCACAACAAATCGTAGCGAAACATGGATGGGTCCTGGTCAGATCATTACCGGCAAAGTGAAGCTATTTGTAACCTACCAGGTTTCAGCATGGGTCAGAGTCGGCTCGGGAGGAGCTTGTGGTCCACAGGACGTAAACGTGGCTCTCAGCGTGGATAACCGATGGGTCAATGGAGGAAAGATCGAGGTGAATGACCGGGAATGGCATGAAATCACGGGTTCTTTCAGAATCGAGAAAAAACCAGACCAAGTTATGGTCCACGTCCAGGGACCTTCATCGGGTGTTGATCTAATGGTTGCTGGCCTCCATATCTTTCCTGTGGATCGGAAAGCACGTCTGAGTTATGTACAAAAACAAGCTGATAAGGTATGGAGTCTTCCAGTTAGAGAAGACGAAAAACTTTTACTCGGGTTGTTGATCTTTTTGTTGTTTTGGTGAATTTGCAATGCAGGTACGGAAATCTGATGTTCTACTGAGATTTTCAGGAGTGGATTCTTCCGAACTGTCTGGTGCAACGGTGAAAATCAGACAGATGCGTAATGCTTTTCCCCTCGGAGCATGCATAAGTCGGAGCAGCATTGAAAACGAAGAGATTATAGATTTCTTTCTCGACAACTTCAACTGGGCGGTGTTTGGTAACGAGCTGAAATGGTACTGGACTGAACCAGAACAAGGAAACTTCAACTACCGAGATGCAGACGAAATGCTCAGGTTCTGCGAGAAACATAATATACAAACCCGAGGCCATTGCATATTCTGGGAGGTGGAATCAACTGTTCAACCATGGATCCAACGGTTAAGCAAGAACGAGCTAGAAGCAGCGGTGAACAACCGTTTAAAGGGTCTTCTCACCCAGTATATGGGCAAGTTCCGACACTATGACGTGAACAACGAGATGCTTCACGGGTCGTTCTACCAAGAACGTCTAGGCTCTGATATAAGAGCCGAAATGTTCAGAACAGCCTGTCAGCTGGACCCGTCAGCCACCCTTTTCATGAACGAATACCATATCGAAGACGGGTGTGACTCCAGATCATCGCCCGAGAAATACATCCAGCTCGTTCGTGGATTGCAAGAAAAGGGTGCGCCCGTTGGAGGGGTCGGGATTCAAGGGCATATCAGCAGTCCCGTCGGCCAGATTGTAGCGTCAGCTCTCGACAAGCTGAGCAAGCTCGGGCTGCCCATCTGGTTCACGGAGCTCGATGTCTCCTCCATTAACGAACACGTCAGAGGAGACGACATGGAGGTGATGCTATGGGAAGCGTTTGCTCATCCTGCGGTGGAGGGAGTGATGCTGTGGGGATTCTGGGAGTTGTTCATGAGCAGAGAACACTCGCACCTGGTGAATGCGGACGGAGGAATCAACGAAGCGGGGAGGAAGTTTCTTGAAGTGAAAGGCGAATGGTTAAGCTCCGTTGACGGGTCTTTGAGTGAGAGCGGAGAATTTGGGTTCAGAGGTTATCGAGGAACTTATACCGTTGAGGTTTCAACTTCAGCGATGGAGTATTCCAAGACTTTTGTCGTTGACAACGGTGACTCAGCCATTGATATTATTCTTTAGTTTTGTACAATAGGGTTCGGGTTCGTGTTCTTGCTTCCCTTCTTGAAATATTGGGTACAAACTACATATTTTGTAAAATTTTCGCAACCCAATCTTTTTGTGTTCATACAAAGCTTCAACAGTAGTTTGGATTTTGTCTGTAAAGGGACATTGTCGGGATGGATTAGAAGCCCAGAAGCCTCTTCTCCCCCTTCTGCAGCGAATTTGGGTTAGAATCTTTTCACATGTCAATATCAATAATAAAAGTGTTTCAGTTTTAGAAATGGGTTTGTTGAGTACAGGAATAGAATTGGCATATAGAAGTGTACACAATTGTGTAAAGACTTTACCCCAGAATCTTTATGCTCTATGACCATCACACCGTCACCCTTGAAGGTACCGGAAAATGCTCAACCTCATCCGAAGATCTTCCTTCCCGGGCCCTCTTCTTTCTCAAGCTCAGCTCCTCCGTGGGTAAGGGCAGATAACGAGCTACCCCTTCATCGAATGCCACGAGGTATGTGGTCGGATCACTCGCATCATCACCACGAACCCGTTGCCACATCAAGAGAGAGAAAAAAAGGATTCCTTTGTTACGAAATCCAAGAGGTTTTGCAAATTTCTAGAGAAAAAAAAAAGAAATCTTTTTCCGGGTAAGAAATCCAAGCAGGTTTAAAAATTTGTAGAAAAAAGGTTCTTTTGGATAATAAATTCAAGAGGGTTTACAAATTTATAGAAAAAAGGTTTGTTTCGGATAAGAAATCCAAGAGGGTTACATATTTATTCAACTACACCTTTCTTTATTTCCAACCTTATATTCTCTAATTTTCTAACCGAAGCATCTAGTAGTCTACATTTTACGTGTCAAAACCACATCAACCGTAACTACGCACAATTTTTCTTCTATGGTTATGACTCCTAATTTCTCTCTAATACTCTCATTTCGGATTCGGTCTATTCGTGTATGTTCGCACATCCGTCGCAACATCTTCATCCCGGTCACATATATTTTGGACACATGTTGTCGTTTCGTCACCCAACACTCACTACCATACATCAATGCGGATCTTATGACAGTACGATAGAATTTTTCTTTCAACCGTATAGGAACTTTGCGATCGCAAAAGATCCACATGCATTGTCTCTATTTCATCTATCCCGTTTTTATCCTATGATTAACATCTTCATCGCAACATGCGTCCTTTTGAAGGATTGAACCAAAATATTTAAAATGCGGGTTTTGAAGTACTAGTCCTCTTTGTAAGTTAACTCATACATCACTAGAATGTCCGCCACAAAAATCGCAATGCATATACTCGATGTTCGTCCTACTAAACCTAAAATCTTTAACCTCTAATGTACTCTTCCATAAATCTAATTGTTCATTTACTCCCTCTCTAGACTCATCTGTTAACACGATGTCATCTACAAACATCATGTACCACGATACTTTCTTTTGTATATCTCTAGTCAGTTCATCTATGACTAACGTGAAGAGGTATGGGTTTAAAGCAAACCCTTTGTTCAACCCTATCGAGATGGATAAATCTCGCATGTCATCCCCTATTGTTCGGAGTAGTTACACCCTCATACATATCCTTCAATACTTGTATGTGTCTCACGGTTACTCATCTCTGCTCTAACACCCACCATAAAACCTCTCTTGGTACTCGATCATACGTTTTTTCAAGGTCGATAAATATAATATGCAGATCTTTCTTTATATCTCGAAACTTCTCCATCAAGGTACGAATGAGAAAGATTGATTCGGTGTTGTAGATTCTGAAAAACCTGATCTTCAGCGATTCTTGGGGTTCTGGAAGGGAGCTTTCCGATGCATTATCTTGGGTTGCCTATAACGCCTCAAAGATTGATTACGAGAGACTACGAGCCACTGATTGATAAAATCTGAAGGAAAATTGGTAGTTGGACTACCCGATTCCTCTCATATGCGGGGAAATTGCAACTAATATCGACAATGATCTATGGTATGGTCTTTAGCTGGAGCCAAGTATTGGTAGTCTCTGCTCTAAATTCCTATGGAAGAACTCACCTACAAGCAATGGAAGGGCCCGAATCGCATGGAGCAATATATGTAAACTACTACAGGAAGGAGGGTTGGAAATCAGGAGAACTGAGGACATTAACCAGGTTTCTTAAGATGATTTGGTCCTTCTTCAAGCAAACAAGTTCGTTATGAGTTGCGTGGTTACAGGCTAACGTTCTGAAGATGCATCTATACTGGAGTTTTAGGCCGACTTCTAGACTATCTTCGAACGTGCAAAAATTAATGAAGCCACAACAAAGAGTAAGGGGATTCATTCGCTGCAGAATCGGAAATGGTGTGAAAGCTTTTTTTTGGTATGACAATTGGACAGAAGTTGGGCGACTGATTGAATATATTGGGACTGGGGGTCCGAGGATGCTCAGAATACCGCTAAATCGCACGTTATTGAAGCCACTTTGGGAGAGAATTGGTGTTTACCAGGTGCTAGATCAGAGCAAATACAAGAGTTGCAAATCAAACTTCTTGGAATACCGACACCTTCATCAGGAAGGGGAGAAGAAAAGTTTGAATAGAGAACAACGAAGAACACATTCTCGAACACCTTTTCATCAGTAGGAACATGGTGTAGAAATTTACGGAATGATGTGATCTTTTATTAATAATCAAATGGACTATAAATATATGAGAGTTTCAAATTAAATAGGTAAATTAGAGATTACATCAAATATTTATAAATCTCTTTAAATCTCTATTTTCTAGATTTGATAAGATCTTTATGATATGATATATCTCATAATATTCTTCATATATCTCAACACATGGAAGGAGATCCTAAAGACCTCGGCTTTGGTGGTATGGTCAGACTTGGTTTGGTTTAAGCAAGCGATGCCGAGGAATGCATTTGTACATTGGATGTCTATGCAGAGAAGGGCTACCAACGAGGATCAGTCTACAACGATGGAACACCACATTGGATGTTACTTACAAGCTTTGCAGCGATGAGGAGGAATCGCTTGGTCACCTATTCTTTCAATGCTCGTACAGGTCACAGGTATAGTTACCATTAGCGAAGAAATTATGGCCTGACCCCCCACAGAACATGCACGAATGTCAAGCATGGATAGCCAGCATACCATAGGGAAACAATGATCGAAGGTGCATACTCATCAAAGTACTACTCCAGCAAGCGGTCAATGAACTTTGGAATGAGCAGATCAACTGTATCTTTGCACGGTTCGACTGCAGCGAGCAACCTTGGCACCCGAGTGGATCAGGCGGTTCGAAACTCACTCCTAACACTCCAGAACACGAAAAATTATGCAAACAACATCCTTTTGCAGAAGTGGTATCTACTTACTTTATCACACTCTAGTGAGACATAGTCAAGCATAGATAATGGAGAATGTATTGTTTCCCTTAGGATTTTGTAGCAACAACTACTAAGGCTTGGAAGTTTGTAATGTGGATCTTGGATCCTCGAAGAACAAATTTTGATTAATACACAACGAATTAAATAAAAAACAATCCAAATGAAATTTTAATTTGGCCCAAATTAAAATTAAATTACAATTGGAAAAAAAAATACGAACTATCGTTATTGTATTTAACGATACTTTCTTATATTTTGTGATCTCTAATTCGCTTTTTAAATTTGATAGTCTTAAACAATCACGTGTATGATTTGATCTCAAATACAACTCTATTTGTGGGATGTCAAGATATTTTTTGGTAAAAATATGTGAAGATAATTTTAGTACCAATTGGGTATTTAATATTAAGTTCAGAAATAATTTTTTAATAAAACTATCATACTATTAGTATACAAATACATGTATGAATTGAATTTTACAAATTCGGTCGAAAGATTAATTAAATTCTCGATGATAACTATATTATCTTGAATCATGATAATATATCTTTATAATTTTTTAAAAATCAGCTTTCTTTTATTATTTTTTTAGACTGTGGTTCCATATTTATTAAAATAAGGATATAATTTATATTAAAATATTATCTCCATATTTATTGAAAAATTATACAAATAAAGTTACATAATTAATTTTCGATAAAAAAAATGTTATATAATTATTTACCTTTTTCTAGTATTTGGAATTTGTTTATTCCCGCGATAAACATAACATGAAAATGTTATTTAATTATCTCTGACGTGGCAGTTCTACTTTCATTATCATGTTTGTTTGCCATTAAAAAATATCTGTCTGTTTATTTTTTTTCAATTTGTGCATTTCTCTTTAATCTAAGATTACTGCTAGTTTTTAATGTTGATGGAAATATTAGTTCATATAATTTTTTTTTTAAAAGTTATAAAACCAGATGCATTATCGTTAATACGGTAGAAACATTCTCACAAATTTTAACAATACTAATAATTCCTAATTTGGTTTTTATAATTCATTTCTAATTTTTAAAATTTAAAGTATATGAAAATTTATTGCACGGTTTTATTAATACTTTTTAATATATTAGCATATGTAATAAGTGATGTTTAATTTCCATTTAATTTGTTTTTAAAAAGCAATCATCGTACCAATTTTTGGTCACGTTTATAATGAAGAGAGTGTGTGTATATATAATATTGGTTGGAATTGACTGCCACGTCACTAGTAGTGATCCAAGATAATGTTCGCTCTCAATTAATCGACGTGATTAAATTATTAGTGACGTGGCAGTCAAGTGTGTCACCCACGAATTGATAAGATAATTACTTGTCATATGTATTTTTGTCACAATAGTCTAATAAATTATTACAGATTTTCACATTATTTTAAAAACTAGACGTTTATAACAGAATTTTGATATCATAATTTTCCAAATTTTTTATATTATTGAAGATCATCATAATCTCTGTCGAATCGAAAATCCTTCATGACACATTTGATTATATATGTTTTTTATAATTCTAAATCATTAGTTAAATATTTAGACTGAAATAAAAAATCTTAGATAAAAAAAAACGAAATAATCAGATTCTAAAAGAAAAAAGGTTGTTGACAATTGACTGCAATAATGATGTGACAATGCTAAATACAAGAAAAGATATTTTAGAATTTCTTTTTAGAAAATAATATTTTCCTACTTGTTAAAATGCGTCACACGAAATTTTTACGCAATTATAAAATATACCAAATATCTACACCCAATTTTAAAATTTTTTAATAATGTCATACACTATCCTAAACAACGCTAAATTTCAACTGATTCTATTAGTTAGAGAGATGACGTGGCTAGACACGTCATTACAATTTGCCACGTGAGCATGCCGACAAAGAGATTGTTAAGGAATATTTTTACAATTATCCAATAAATATTCTTCCACGAGGCTGTAATTTGTAAATGGTACGTCAAACAATTTAAAAAAAAAACTATTTTAACTTTCTAAAAGGTTCCTAGTAAATTATTATCTACAAATTCTAACAAAACCTCATCTCAACAAAACAAAAAATCCAAAAAGTTATATTTTTTGTTATTAATTTAGCAATTTTAAATTCTTCTCCAATGTCTAAATATATTTAGCTCTTGCGTTCAGATCAGTAACACCTTTTTCATCTTTATCGTTAGAAATACCAAAAAAGAAAATAAAAGAATAAATTATATTTTAAAATCCGCAGAAAGACAGATCCATTGAACACGATAAATTTAGTCAGACACATAGTTATCGGATCAAACAGATAAACACGAGTGACAAAGCACCAAGAACAGAACCAAGATAAGAACACGACAGCATCCTCTGGTTACATAAATAACGCTAATTTCTCTAATCACTTGCGTGTTGGATTCTTCTTCGTTGCATTGTTTTGTCTCCTCCTCCCCCATCAATTCTCCCATCCAAGATACTCTGTTTCTCAGAAGATGATTAGGGCAATCTCGTATCTGCAATCTTCTCTCCGGCCTCTTCGTTCTCGCTCGGTACGTGTCTTTTCTCGGTCGGAACAATCGTGCCCAGAAGCTGGAAACGTGTTCTGCAATAGGGGTTCATGTTATTTCATGGTTTCATTCATACCTGAAAGTGGGAGAGAAATCTGACCATGATCTTACCTTACAGTACACGGCACAAGCTTCATCGGCCTTGCGTGAAGAGGTTAAGCTATCTGTTTACAGGTGAGTTTGTCAGAACCTGCGCCTGCGTTTTTGTGTTGCGATGTTCTGTAATGGCACTGGACAAGACAACAACCCTTCATGATCCGGTTCTTGAGTTGCAGAGACGATGAGTATGCGGATGTTGATTGGGACAAGCTAGGGTTCGGTCTCACTCCCGCAGATTACATGTACGAGATGAAGTGTTCGAAAGATGGAGAATTCAGAGAAGGAGAACTCAGACCCTTTGGAAACATTCAACTCAGCCCTTCTTCTGGAGTCTTGAACTACGGACAGGTAAAATGTCTCTTCCGAAACTGATGAGTTCTTCCGAGGAATACAAAGAACAAAGAAGTGATAGTGTTCTTTAACGTGTCTGAAAAAAATACATGCAGGGGATATACGAAGGTACGAAAGCGTACAGGAAAGAAGACGGGAAGATTCTACTGTTTCGTCCAGAACAAAACGCTACTCGTTTGAAGCATGGAGCTGAACGTATGCTCATGCCTTCGCCTTCGGTTGATCAGTTCATCGATGCAATCAAACAGACCGTTCTTGCGAACAAACGTTGGGTAAAAAACTAAAAAGTTTTGGTCGAAACTTATGTTGCCGGGATCTGGTTTGAACTCATGTGAGGATTTTTGTGATTAGATTCCTCCTCCAGGTAAAGGGTCTCTCTACGTTAGGCCTCTGTTGATTGGAAGCGGTCCGATTCTCGGATTAGGTGCTGCTCCTGAGTATACATTCCTCGTTTACGCTTCCCCGGTTCGGAACTACTTCAAAGTTAGTATCTTTCCTCGACTGATTCGCAGTTCAGATCCTTCGAGAAAACGGGGTTTACAGATCGTATCTCTTGTTCGGACAGGAGGGAACTGCAGCTCTCAACCTCTACGTCGAGGAAGAGTACGTACGAGCAGCTCCCGGTGGCGCAGGTGGAGTCAAGAGTATCACAAACTATGCACCTGTAACTTTGATCCCCTTCACTTTCAGACAAAAAATGGTGAAGACCCTCTTCAGATCAGAGACTGATCTTACTCAATGCATATAACGTAGGTTCTTAAAGCATTGACAAGAGCTAAAGATCGAGGATTCTCGGACGTCCTTTATCTCGATTCCATTTATAAGAAGTACTTGGAAGAGGCTTCTTCTTGCAACATTTTCATCGTCAAGGTATATTGCTCTGAGTATATATGGAAACGCGATAGATCCCCGAGACTTGAACTCTGTCCTTTTTTGGCTGTTTCAGGGTAAGAAGATCTCTACTCCTGCAACAAAAGGAACAATTCTCAAGGGTATTACTCGAAAAAGTGTCATGGAGATCGCCACCGATCAAGGTTACCAGGTAAAAACCTGCATCCTATTACCGAGTATTCATAGAAATGGAGTATCTAAGAGATTTTTTCTCGTGAAAATGTGATCAGGTTGAAGAAAGGGCTGTTCCAGTGGATGAACTAATGGAAGCAGACGAGGTTTTCTGCACCGGAACGGCTGTAGGGGTTGCCCCAGTGGGCAGTGTAACCTATCAGAGCCAGAGGTAATCGCTTACATGCCCTGATTTTTGTTCTTTGATCCGTAACAGATGTTGTCTGAGATCTTACTCGGTTTGATATGGAGATTACAAACTTCTGAAATCTGCAGAAAAGAGTTCAAAACCGGGAATGATTCTGTCTGCGAAGAACTACAGAAAATTCTTGTGAGTATTCAGACCGGATTCATGGAAGACAAGAAGGGATGGGTCACTGAGATCCACTGACACTGAGAAACCGATCTTTCAAAACAGACCGGATTCATCAAGACAACATGGGTATACAGAAAGGATTGTCTTGCTCTTATAAGCTTTGTAAACAGAAAATGAAGAACAGATGAGTAAATATGGAACTATTGTGTTAAGGAATCGGAAGCAGAAAAGAGATTTCTTGCTCTTCTTCCATTCTTCTTGAGCAAAATATGATTGTTGAAGATACAGAAACAATTTTTCTTTTTAAAAGAATGCTGAAGAACACATGCATTAGAACCAATACCATCTATACAAAACCAAAACACCGTTATACTATCTTTTGATTCCTGAATCTCTCTGTCCAAGATTATCCTCTTTGATGCATTAGATCTCCGGTTTTAACTGCCCCGCGGAGGTAAAAGATTCTTCGATCGATCAGAGAAAATAAAAATATCTCAAACCTTAAAAATAAACCCACCAAAGATTGAAGAGAACGGTAAGTTTTAATTCACACCATCTGGTGGGAAACTGTCTGTGTTTGATGTATTCGAGACAAGCACCATTTGGTATATGCTTTGTAGTTCAGTGTCTATTACAGTCTGTACAAGATTTAGAACACGAATGTTAGAAAAGTTCAGCGAGATGACAAATCGAAACATAAGAACCTAACATGTTTCTCGCCTGCTACTTACCTGAGACAGCGGATTAAGCTGTGAATTCGTTGTGGGAATGTTTGGTATTATCCCTTGAATGGTGTTGTAAGGATGAAGAAGATTCATTCCGGTTCTTAACCCGAGAACATACCCGTTTTCGTCTCTTGAATGAAGAATCTGATCAGAGAGAGAAAGGGTAGTACTCTTCAAACTTGAAGAACATTCATTGTGAAAGTTAGAGGTTACATCTTTGGCGCGAGTTCTGTCTATATCGATTTTGACTTCTGGATTTACCGCCGAAAGCTTCATGGACAAAAACTGCAAACCCAAGATTGTACTGATTAGATTACAGTTTCATGGGTCAACAAAAAAAATTGAATCTTTTCAAGAATTTCCGTATTTCTACAATATCTTTACCTCAACTTGCTGCTGTAGCGACTGGACGTAGTTGATGATTTCATCGAGCATTACCGCCTTTCCAGTGATCTGATCGAACGATGATCGATGCCAAAACACATCAGTACGTAAAGGTTCTTTTCCGAGGAAACATAAGTATCAGCAAACCCACATCTAAATCCTTTACCTTGCTGCATCCTGGGACAAGTTCTTGAAGCAATCTCATCCTTTCGCTGATCTTTTCTCTTCTAACCTTTTAAGGCAACAAAATCAAATCTCTCATATTCCGTGATTCTTGTTAACATAAATAACCAGAGGAGTCGGGCGAAAAATTCCGTAAAACCGTTGTTATACCCTTTCTGCAAGACTGTGACTCTTAGTTGCCTGACCCCTTCTTGTCCTGACATGAATGTAGTTTCCTTTAGGAGTTTCTCCGCTCTGCGAGTTCTCCTCTTCTTTTGTCTCTTTAGTCGGTGTCTTTCCACCAGAATCTTCAACCATGTTCCTCTCAGATTCGATCCTGTTCTTGCTTTGATCTTTGTTTTGATCGTTCTTTCGAAATACTTCCACAGCTTTCTGTCATAATTAAGCAGAGCTGAGAGCAAGAACAGATTTCATAGTTCACATACAACAAGAACCAAACCTTGAGTCTGATACTTTATAATCCAAATGGTTAGCTACCAAACTAATCATTTGAAGTATGGAAGTATATACCTTGTTCCGTTGCGAAGAAAGGGCCATCTCGGGTTCAGGTTGTCGTCTTTTTCTGCAAGGAGAAGCACCAAGAAGAACACCATCCTCTGAAACTTGATGACCTTCATGAACCTTTCCTGGCTGACTCTGACCCTTCTCGTCTGAACCAATACAATGACCAATTTGGTTGCAATCAGGCAAGTTTCCATAAGGAAGAAGAAAACCAGTCGACATGTCTGCATAACTCGACCCCGGGCCTGTTTGGTAATGAGCAAAGCCACTCATCCCTATGTTCTCCATTACCAGGGAAGTGTAATGAGATCTGGAGAAGACATTGGTTGAGGCCATTGCAGATACAAGAGGATCCCAGTCTGAAGAAGGGAAGAAAGGATCCACCTTTGCAGACAAGGGCATTGATGTCATTTCAATACCTGTCTCTTCTCCATGCTGAAACCCCATTTCGCCATCTTCGCCAGCTTCACCATCCATTCCTATTGATTCCAACCTTTAAAACCCTAAAGATTAAACCCAAATAAAATCTCTCTCTCTCTCTAAAGGAACTGGAATCCAAAAGTTGGGACGATTGCTTGAAAGACTCGACAAGGAACAAGTGAAGTAAACTATGCAGCTTTTTGTACAGTGGTCGATGGGACTAAAGAGCAAAAAGGAAACAAACCCAGGATCAGATCAATGCTCATCCTCACTCAAGTTAAGAGAGAGAGAGAGAGAGAGGCCTATCAATGTTATTATCATAGACAAGGAGAAAAGTTAGAACTTTCAGAGCATAAAGTGAGACCAAGCAACGGATTTAAGCTAAGTTACAGCTCACAAGGATTAACAGACTAAAACGAAAAGTAGATTCCCTTTTGAGACCAAAGTGACTGTCTAAAGAATTTTTGCAATCAATCTCTTCACCTTCAAGAACGTGGAAATTTTGGCGTTCGAAGACCAACCCAAGATGAACACAGGCTGAGGAAAATGGCGGGTACAGAACATAATCAAGTTTTTGGGAACCAATCTCCTAGTTTTTTTTTTCTTTCTTTTTGGAGAAAATGGACACAAACCTGTTTAGGATTCTGAGATATGGGTTGGTGTCTTTCAGAAGGGCACAAAACAAGAACCAAATTCTGAAGGGAATTACAGTACCTTAGAACTGGTAATACAGGGAGAAGCTATAGACCTAAGTGAAGAGCATCGAACGCTGATTTGGTTGAATTGGGCAAATGAAAAATGGAGAAGAACCCGAGCTGTTGGCCAAGGGGTACTGGAACGGGTTTTTTACCCAAATAACTCATTTTGGTCGCATCTATTTCACATGTACATCACCGAAAACATAACACATTTTTTTTTCTTGTGAAAAGACGAAATTACCCTTAATGAATTACGATATTTATCCGTTCGAAAACAACTTCGTTATTACGATTTCGTAATTAAGTCTAAATATAGTTACAATTGATTCTAAAAAAGGTGGCAAAAAAATCATCTGTCTTATTTTAGTTGTATATCAATTATATGTTAATCGTAATAAGATCGCAAAAAATAAAAAGAAAAAGATATTTCGAACTTTTCCAACCGAAAAGTTTTTTTTTTTTTTCGGTGGTGTACATTGAAATAGATGCGACCCAATTGGGTTATCTGGGTGATTTTCCCTACCGGAACAAACAGCAAAGAAGCATCAAATCCCAACCTTTATAGAATAGAACCCAAAGCTAAGGTCAAAGGCACAATAAATCACAGATAATAATTATGTTAACGGAGAGAGAGAGAGAAGAGAGGTTTGGTAGCTTTAGAAGGTAAACAGGAGACAAACAACTACTGTAACAACTGCTCCTTGTACTTTTCTTCTTACATTATTACTACAGAATCTACTAATCGACCTTTGCCTTTCTGCATTCTTTTTAACTTCACAAGACTTTTACCTCTCTGTAAGGTTCTCTCTTGAATTATGATAACACATGTTTTTTTTTGTTTGAATGCGATTGTATTAATTTTCCAAAAGTTACATCCGATGGTAAAACAAAAACTTATACAAAAGATTGGATTCCCATTAGCAAGTGGTAAAAAAGTTCCGTTAGAGATCTTAGAAGCAGCATGTCATCAGCCTATCTTAGTCCGTTCGTGTGTTAGTACCAGTCCTCGAGTAACTGAGTATGTGCTTGAGTTTTCCCCATCTGCGCAGACATTAGAAGGGTTCTCATATGTCGGTCAAGTCTGATCCGGGTTTGTTGTATCGTTCTCGCCTTTCCGCGGAATATTATGTCGTTCCTTTATTTCCATAACACATGTTACTTATGACCACTCAGCTTTTTGTTTTTCATTTGGCCTTTATTCTAAGAAAGGTCACATCTTTAGACTACCCACTATATTATCAAACACATTTTTGAAATTGTTACAGGAAAAATTAAAAATTTACAGCAAACGACAGATGAAGATTTTCAGTTGCTTCTTTGTACAAACAAGAGGTTCTTTCTACTCTTCAAACATTTTAAAATTTCTCATAATACTAATTGTCACTGACATAGAACTACGACTGACTTAAAATAACCGAATATTTTGTATGTGCTGAATATTTGTTGGAATCTTTATAACCAACTTAATATAATGTTACTACCATGTAGCCAAAGAATTAATGAATGGCTTATCTTCTTTGCATGTGTTAAACATAGTTAGTCATCCAACTTAGATAGTTCAACCAGTGGAACGAGTACGCAAAACGTCTATTCTGTCCTGAGTTCGAG